CGGTCACCACTGCATCATAACTGTAGCAACTGCTGATTTTCCAGAGTATACCTTACAGAAGTGATTAGCCATTTGCTAGGGTATGCGTTGGCCTACAAGAGTTGACGCGAGCATGTCATTGTGACAAGTCGGTGCTCTGCAACGAGTAACCACCTTTCCAGCATATCCTTTGGCAGCCTGTTTTAGTAATGAAATCAAAAAAAATTCTGATTGACTATCTTTGACAACTTTGAAGTGGGATTTCTTTACCCTCCATAAAAGTTTGGACCCTTTTGAATAGCGCACGACCTCCTTGTTCTGACTAATGCCAGAACTCCTGCTCAGCATCTTCGCTGTAAGGATGGAGGCGAAGCGATTAGCCCAATCCAATTTTTTAACGAAACTAGCAACATGCTAGTCTGCGCTAGTCTGATTTTGTGCTCATATACATTTTACTGAACCACCTTGTTTTTCTGTGGCCATACCAAACGCCTGAGCATCCAGGCTGTACCGTAAACCTAAAGTCATCACGCTGCTCTCAAAGTGCTGTAGTGTTTAATCATGTGTAATCACATTTAAAGAAATTAGGGCATTAAGAAAATAAAGAAACTTTCAAACGATTTTATATGTCCAAAATCCTCTTAGGAAAAGCTGCTCAAAATATGTAAATTATTACGAATCAGGATTTCAAAGCATACGTTTAATAATAATAATTGTGCAAAGGCACCCAGGCAAATGGCAAGCTTTGTTTGTTGCGACGGCACGATATTTTGGTGGTTCCAAAACAACCGCAAACACCGTCCACCTTTCTTACAATGAAGCGCTTGGCAGAAGAAAAGCGCTAGATCCTGTATTCTCTCGCCAAAACGTTAAAAGGTTTGGTCTTGCTGTAACTAATCAAATTCTGTACGATCGCTAAATGTATCATGTCGACTGCCACGATTATTGGCTGTCAGTACGGTCATCTGCTTCGGGCTTTGGATGTCTTGATGTTTTCTTAAATTAACCAGTACCTTCAAGGAAGAAGGCCTAAAGCCTCTATTATGCTCAAGAATCATAATAGAACAATTCTGACTCTAGTTATGATTCCAAAAGCTTGCAATTTTGACTACATAAACCTTGAACACTTCTAGCTTGTAGTTTCAACTAGATCTTATCCCAAGTATTCATGCTATCCTACAGTATCAACAAGCAAGGAGATAGTTGACACTCTTTTTTGGTTGCCTTGAGAAGTTTGAAAGCTTATTAAATCATTTTTTCGCGTGTCTATGTATTGATCACCGGAAAGAAAACGCGCCGCCTTCCCTGCCTGCATCCTGCTCTTACAAAGGTTACGCCATATTGCTACCGCTGATTCTAGAGCCGCGGAACTGTTATTTGCATCTCATAGTCAGAAAAGCTTGTTGCACGCCAACTGAGGCCCATGTATAGCATAAAGATTACGAATAGATGTCTTAATGTACTTATAACACTGACAAGAAAATATTGCGTCATTTCCAGAATATCGAGCAACAACACCTTCTTCCCTTAATTTAACATGATTTCTTGAACTCTGTCCTCATGGTTACCTTCGGACATGACATGAGCATCACTCAAAGCATAATGATGACTTTGCGTAAAATAGAAAAACAGGTCTTTTTGGATCAAAATCAATACTATAAAAGTTACGCTTCCTTGTAAAATAAGCAATTATTGTATATTTTCTTCCCATCTGGGTTATTTCGGTTTTAAAGTAATTTCAATCTCGATCACTTATATCCAAATGTATGAAGATTATTTGTGATTCGTTGGACTGATTTCTCTCATCAGCATTTTGACGTATTTTTGTATCTAGGTCAGCGGCCTCGGTAATTCCAATTACTAGGGTATCCAAAATTTTTTACCTTGGCAATTCCTATCGATGCGGTGCAATCAAGCTTTTCTGACTAGGAAACATTCCTCCGTGGCGCCGAGATCAGCGTCGAAATATTGTAGCCGTCATATGAGCAGGAAGCGGACGAGGTATGAGCTGCGCCCGAAGGCTGGATCGCGATGGGTTATGATGACCTCAGCGAAATCAACAGTCTGCCACTCTTCAAGAGAGAGCGCCGGGTACATAATGCACGTCCCTTGGCAGAAGTAAGGAAGGGCGGCAACCACTGCAACAGCCTCCTTTAGTCCAGCACCATGGATCCCTGTTTTTTGACAATTTCGCACTAATTAAAGTTTATATTTATGTTTAGCACTACGAAATGGGTAATAGGAGGTAAAACATGAAGCTGAGAATTTGCCTGGACACTGCCTTATTTTGACACGGGGCACCCGGCCCACCGCAAATGACACGGACATTTCCATACCTATGAAATGTTCAAACTTTAATGTCTCATTGTTTCTAGGTGCCCAAAATTGCTCAAAAAGTGATCAAAAGAGAAGGCTTCAAAGTTTCCGTTTATGAGGTAAGAAGTGCTCAGTTGAGGTGTATACTTAAATATCCTTGTTGATCTCCTTGAACTTCGTATTTAGCCCGATCAATACGAAAAGATAAGCCGGGACTACGATGGATTAAATGCAACCCATTTGGTCAACTATCTTTTCATGCGACTTATCCTGTCAAATGCTCAGTATCTGCCATCGTATGCTGACGCTTTCAAGGAAATGCCTGTAAGTCCAGTTAATTCAATGAGCCCACATCATACATTTTGACTGCTTGGCCAAATGTGGAAGCCGTTATCATCTACGGATCAGCAGGCGCTTTCTAAAAATATTAAGAAAAGTCGATCTAAACACACTTTTTTGGTCCATAGGTGCCATACCAGCAATATTGTGAGCAATGATCAACTCCACTAGCCTAGGGTAAACCTAAAACGTTTTAAGAAACCCTTTTGGGGACAACAGGAAAATTTATTATGTATTTTTGATATTAAGTGAGCTAAAGACATGCTGCAGATAGGCTCAACGCTATGTATTGTTATCAGTAATGAATTACCTAATAGTTGCTCATTTGCTATATTTTATGTTGATCATAATTTGCAGGAGGAACCATTAGTACTCGGAAGGAGACGACCATACCCATTGCCATATTTCCGCTTTAAAAGAACTGATAATCTAAAGGAAGTTCGTACAAATTGTGTAGGATTAGCCAATCAACTAATGCAATACGCAATTGGCAGAGTTTATATCGACTACGAATATCCTGATGACGCCAAAAAGGATCTCATCAGAAAGTTGGAAGTTGACGTTGTCTTTTGATTATATTTCCAATGGAGCTTTTAGGAAAGTTGGAGGGATGATGCAAAATGTTATCCACTCATTCCAAAGCATGCTTGATTCACTTGATTGGATGACCAAGGACACTAAGCATAAAGCATATAATAAAACGATGGACATAGGTTTGTTAGCTTAAACTTATTCTTTTGCAGGGGCGGCTTAAATAAGATAATGTTAACATGTTGTCAAGTCGGAAAAGAAACAGTCGATGCTCTTCTGATAAAAAGATCTTTTTACTCTTTATCTCGCCTTGAATGCTAAGAATCTGTTTTTTGGAACAATGAACAACGCTAGCTGTGTTATATCTGGGATAAATTATTATAAAATGATCTATTCAGCTGAGTTTCAAACAAAGCTCTAGCTACTTATCAGACTCCCGCTGCATGCATATAATCTTTAAAAATTTTGTTTAAGTTCAAAATATCGCTTTTCCCGATTGGATTATGGACAATGACAAGCTTGACGAGTACTACAAAGAGCTCGAATTGAAGAAAAATGATGAGAACTACTACGACATGTGGACAAAACTCATAATGTAAGTCGTCGAATATTCTAGGAAAATGATGTAAATTCTTTGATTTCAGACACAATATCGTCCTTATGTACAAGCAGCTAACATTCAAAGAAGCTGATCGTTCTGATTTCCTAAGTCAACCTGGCACAGTTAACGCCTGGTATATGGTCAGCACTTGATGCATAAATTCAACATGAAGGATAATTAGTACCCTATCCCACAATATCGATAATGTCTGTTCTAGCCTGAACTGAACTCAATCACATTCCCAGCTGGCATTCTTCAACCACCATATTTCCATCCGTATTGGCCCACATCCGTCAACTATGGTGCTTTGGGAGTAGTTGCAGGTTCGTTTGTTCACATAGTTTCGGTGGTGTGCTCGTTATGTGTCCTATACAACATGTAATGCCTAATTTTAATGCGCTCATACAAATGCAGTACAATTAAGAAGTGAACAAATGTTGTTTTAAAGCAATTTGGTCTAGAATGTGCTAGAGTGATCAAGCAAGAGCAATGGGTGAAAAGTAAGAGGGATACGTGAACATTAAAGAGCATAGGAGAAAACTAAATAATTATAAATCAGTTTTCTGGACAGAAAGCTTAACTCGTAATATCAGCTGTCTTCTATAAACTTCAAAGAAAATGAGCTGCAATAAGATTGGGTTCTATGTGTCATTTTCAACTAATTCGCGTCTTTTTCTTCTTCTCAGGGAAAAGTTCTACCAAGCTGAGCACTTTTCGTCAGCAACAGAAAACAGTTTTAAAAAAACGATAACTACTTTTGGTCTGCGTGGAATCAGCATTTCCGTTGTGAACTCCTCTTATCGGTGCATTGATTTTCCGCTAATCTCAGTTAATTTTCATTCATTCCTTTTTCATTACAAAAGGAAAGACTAGGTGAAATACGGAATATTGTATTAGGTTGAGGAATAAATTCGTAACGTTTTTTTTTCCCAAAAACTTTTACTTAGACAAAAATCAATGGTTTTA